TGTGTGTGTGTGTCTGTGTGCTGTGTCGGTGCAGAGGGGTTGGTTGATCAGGTGAAAGTTTATTGGTAGGTTGGGTAGATTGTGATTGTAATTTTTCGAAGAGTTGACCCGGTCCCAATGTCACTTCTGGCTTGATGTCCGTGGGCTGTTTCTCAATCGTCGTGCCGCTCGATGGCCTGGTCTCTGTCTCCAGAATTTCCGACGTGATGTGAGGTCGAAATTGTGTAAATTCACGGTGCGCGTGCAGAGTCGATGCGTTTTTCATGGAGAAGGATCCACTTCGTGCGAAACTCGTCAGAGCTTGTAGAAGAGCCGAAAAAAACAATGTCGGTTTGTTAGTGGGATCATCTCGGATCTGCAAACAATCCGCTTCTCTTGCTACGTGGCCTCGCGTGTCAGTGAGGATAGCGGTACCCACAAGAGAGGGCTTTTTGAAACACTGTGAGGCGAAGAAGAAGACACATCGTAAGAAAAACGCGAAGAGGAGGAAGAGAGCTGAAACAAAAACGTAGCTCACATTATGGGCCAAGAGCGTGCAGAGGCCCCATGCACGGCAGCCAAGCCGGCAAGCTTTGTGGGCGCCTGGTCTCCAGTTCCAACACCCTCGATGCCCTCAATGCCTAGGCGGCACAGACGTGAGGCCTCACGAACATGCGCATCAACATGTTTATAAAGTAATTCTTATTTTAGCCTTTGCCTCGCCCTTTGGGCCAGGTGGGTCGCTGCACCTTGCCAGTAGGCTTCATGGGGCTGGTTCTCTGCGGGCATCGCCGGCGGTCCTCAGGTTCCTCGCTAATCTTGAGCGCAGAGCCGCTGGAGCTTATGTCCGAGTTTGATGCGGAGGATCCGGAGCTACGGGTAGAAGCCGCAAACCAAGTGGGGGCCATGAACGTCACGAGCGTTCTTTGGCCGCCGAAGCGGTGCCCTGGTTGCAAATTGCTTAAAAGTTAATATTCCAAGGGCTTGGTTTCTACGAGAAGGTCTTGAAATCTAAGGGAACAGGCAGACCCGGCGGAGCTCACTCCAGTCTTGCAGGAGACGACTGTGGGACGCTTCACTGGCTCAGCGCCTCCGTTTGCGGCCTGGCCCTTTTACGAGGCTGCTGATGTCACAACCCTGGAAGAAAAAGACCCAGAGCTTGAGATCTACAAGGCTGGAACCGGGGCAGTTCCAAAATGTTCCGACACGGAGGGTGGCTTTGCTGTGATGACTTGCCTTCTCAGGTGGTGGACTTTGACTCCTCAAGCGGCTTGACGAGAGCCTTTGCGTTGGCCAGCCGTTGGCAGAAGCAGAACTTGGGCCGTTCGGCAGGCTTTGACCGCCTCGGCGCTGGCGTTTTAAGCGGTTTCAAGCACACGAACCCCATCCTGATGCGACAGCTGCAAGGACTCAACGTCCTCACCAACTGGCAAAGCGACCAACGGCAAAGCTCCGTTTTTTCAGATGAGGCCTTTGCACAGTTCATTGCCGATGTGGAGGCCTCGGAGTTTACGGCCCGGGAGTTCCGCGCTGTAGCGCCCGTGGGCCGTGAGGCGCTGTGTCTGTGACATTGGCAGGAAGGCAAAGATGCTGAGTGTGCTCGTGGGAGGCGCACGTAACCGGCCTGGTAGGAACCACCGGCTCCTCCCTGGCCGTGTGGACCATCGAGAAAGGCGGTGAGGCAAAGGGTTGTCCCTGACAGCATGCTCTCATTTCTGATTCTTCTACTCAAGGCTCAAGCTCAAGGACAAAGCCTGCAGAAGCGCAGTAAGGTCAAGTGGACCTGCAAGGCCCCAGAACAGGAGGAGGTGGTCAGTGGTCAGCTCCATGTGAGAAGCTGTAGGTAGACATTTTGCTCAAGAGCACATCAGAATACATTTGGCAGTTTCCCAAAATGAGGGGACTGCAATATAGACACCAAAATATTATAATCATTATCATCCTTATTATGGGGACCCCCAAAAAGGTACCCCCAAATTAGGGAACAGTTGCCCACTAGGAATGCCAAAGCCTCATCCGCTTATGGGGGGGTCGAACAAGGAACGAAGTGGCCGAGGGTGGCACAAGGCCCTCTTTGTCAAGCCGAAACGGGGGAGGTCTGGGCCGGCGCAAGCCCAAATGAGAAGATTGAATGGAACGGCCGAGGAAGCTGGAGACTAAACCGGGCCCCGGAATGGCAAAATGAACTTTACAGGAGCATCTACGGCGGCTCAGAGCAAAAGCGATCAGCTTGGTGCCACTCAACCGGCCGATCTCCTCAACGCTGTTAACCCTAGACCCTAAACCCCTAACCCCTAAACCCTAAACCCTGTTACGCCTGTCGCCGGCGGTGGATCGAACGGGCAGCAGCTCGGCACAGCACGACGGCAATCTTGCCCAAGAGTTCAAATTTAACAGAGGCAGGGTCGCGCTGGAGCTGGTCGGGAGGAAAGGGACAGGACAGAAGGCAGGACCTATTCGGACCTATTAAGCCTCTGCGACCTCAGCCGAAAGGCTCGCCAAAAGGCAAACAGAGTTCAAATGGCACAAATTCTAGAGGCGGCAGCATGAGCTGAAGCTGGGACAGACAGCCGTGCCACCCTCTTCGTCCTTAGGCAGTGGGGACCGCACCAGCTTTAAGAGTTGCGAGCCGAACGTGGCATTGGCAGGCAGAGCGGAGCCTCGACAGCCTCAACATCCAGCTCTGCTTAGGCCCTGAACTTCTTTTTGAAATTCTGTGGCCTTTGAATGTTGCACAGTTTCACAGGGCACGACTGCCTAGACCAGGGCCCAATTGCAGAAGAGCCCCAGGCTTAGTTTCACGTCTTAGAGCTAAGGCTAATGATCTTGAAAGCCCATCCTAAACCATCACTTATGCTACTTGTCCAAAATCCCAGAGTCGATTTGAGTCCGAGGCGCCTACTCCGACTGCTTGCAGCCCGCGCCCAGAAACATGGCCTGGCCCTGCGCTGCCGGGCACGCTTTACGGAGCCCACCAGAGCTTCAATTACCCTGAGCATCGGTTATTGATTACAATCAATATGCTTGTGGACTTATTGATTTTCCTTCAAAATCAATATGTTTTATTGATTTCGGAATCAATATTTTTAGCATAGAAATGAAGCCTCGAAATCAATATGCAGAATCAATAAACAAATCAATAAGCAAATCAATATGGGAATCAATCTCCTTCCAAAAATGCATTAAAAAATGCATATTCCAAATCAAT